ACTAAATAAGCGTTTGCTACTCCATACCTGTGTGCTAAGGGCACACCCATTTGCACTTAGTACCTTGGACTGGACTTGATTTTACACAAGTTCTCCTGGGAACCTCTGCATTCCTAGGAACATAGTCAGTCATGTGCCACGTCTGCATCTACACAGACTCATTCCAGGGTGGATTAGGAATGTTAATGCCATTGAAAGAATAAACACTTTCATAACTTACTATAAAATGCCATATAGAGCACTGTCTATTGGGGCCAACATTTTAAAATTAGAACACATCTTAATCCAAACACAATGTTTTTCTGTTACTTGTGAGATTTTAAAAATGAAAATTATAACTGCCAAATGTCTCAAAAGACTTTGTTTAGCTTCCTCTCTCTTCTGCATTCCTCGGGTCTCACGGCTGCTGTTTTATATTCCCCATACTATAATTCAGCTTTTATAGCTCCTCTTATTCAATACTCCTTTCTCTTTTCCTTCCTCCGATGATCAAATTAGCTTAATGCATCCCAAAGGCCCAACACAAGCTCTTAAAAAAAAAATGAAGGAAAAGTTTTAACTTGTCGTTGCTCTGCTAGGCTTTAAGAATGAGGTTTTTTAAAGCAAAGTGAATTCTTATAGAGAAAAATATGCAAATATTGTATTTGAGGATTCAGTCTGTACAGAGAAGTTTCTAAGACACTTCCAGAAGCTTTGGGAAAGGGGTCGGGAAGGAGAATGTGTGGATTTGAAAGAAACCATCGTTGAAGGCCATCATGCCTGGAATACAGGAGACCTGGATTCTAGACTTTATAGTCAGTGTTCTGTAAGTAATTTGGCTGCTTTCAGCTTCACTGTTAAACAAAGAGGTTACACCAGATGAGTCTTAAATTCCTTACTTCAGGGCACTCAACAGTATGACTACTAGGATCAAGGGATGACTGTTCTGTTGGGGGTGGTGAGGGTGGCCTTTGCTGTGTACTGCAGAGTATTTTGCCCGCAACTCAGCCTATGGCCACTTTATACTCTTGGCACTGCCCCTGTTATCCCCTCACCAAAATTTCTCTAACATTGCCAAATATCCTCTTTGGGTCAGAATCCCTACTAGGCAGTTGAAAACCAGTGCTTTAAAGCTAAAATCCACGATAATGGCCTTATTTCCAGGTAGCAGCCTCATCTTTTTTCCACACTCTTGTTTTTTTATCAATTAGTCCAGTATTTTGAATATTTTAAGTGCCATACTTACATTATTCACTTTACAGATTCTGATTTTTCCAAATTAGCATTTTAGAAATCTGTTTACACGAAAACCTCACAGAGAGAGGTTAAAAGCCAGAGGTGAAGCAGATCACTGATTATAAATATGTGGCAAAAGCTCCTCAATGAACTGTATGCAACAGAGAAGGGCTTTAGACCAGATCTTGTTTGCAATAATGTAATCGTAAAGTGACCTGTCAAGAACAATTGAGGGTAATTGCACCCCGGCTCTTGGTTTTACAGTAGAATGTTTCCAAAAGGAAAATATAAGCAAGTAACAGAAATGTGTATTGCATTCATATGTGAAAAGCTTAAACTCTAAATTATGTGCATCACTCCTTCTATTAAATGGAGCCCAACAATATAGGTGTATTTATTTCTTCAGTCAGAAAAATGCCTGTTTGCAACTTTAAAAATGTTATCCCTCTTTAAATTATAGTAACTCATATTTTAGTAGATTTAGCTTAACCTATGAGCTTCCCATATGTGTGCCATCTAGTTGGTGTTGCCTTACTGTGTGTTTGTTTCTGTAGAATCGTGGTAAAAATCTATGGAACCTCAAATAAGCAGGAAGTTAACTATATTAGGGCACTACACACAAGATAAAGACACTCCCCTTCAGCGCCCTCTCTCCTGTAGCTCCAGGAAAGCACAGTACAGTTATCTGAAAGTAAACACTATACATGGAGGAAGCTCAAATCTAATAATTGACATGTGTTTTCCCATGTTCAGTAATATTTGTCATGGGAATATTCTAAACCCACTGGAGTGAGTGTGCTTGTTTGGTTGTTTGTTTGGATTTTGAGACAGGTTCCTGATGTGTAACCCACATTGGCCTTGAATGCTGCTACCTCAGCCTTCCAAGTGCTCAGATCACAAGCACACATCATTGTTTTGAAAAAAAATCTAAGATTTCATTTTTTTCTTTGAGGGAAATGATGGATTCCTCCACATTATAGATTTCAGGTTATAAAAAAAATGAGTATTAAAAAAATCAGAGAAGATTTGCTTTAAAATTTCCCAGTAGTAAAATGTATGATGTGCACATCTAGCTATGCCTGACAGGTACATTATTTTTTCTTAAGGAGATCATCTTTTAATCCATGAATGCATATCCTTCACAGTGATGGCTTTCAAACCTTCCACTTCTTTTCATTGTTGTCTAACTCTTCATTTAAATATCTATCTATCATTTTTATGTATATGTGTGCCTGCATTGAATTTGCATGCACCACATGCATGCAGGAGCCTGCTGGGGCCAGAA